TAGAATGGGGAACAGCACTGAAGCAAACATGCATTTGTTCACTCATTCGATAGGTGTTTATTGAGCACCTAATACACTCATGCATACTTACAGACACCGGAAATAATAGGAGAGCACAAAATATGAGGTCTGGCACAGAGCAGATGTACTTTAAATAACTATTTATCGAATGGACCAATTCCCAGATGAGGGCATTGTGACTCAGAGGAGTCAGGGAGCTTATCCACGGGGGTTAGCAGCTAAGTGTAAAAACCAGAGTCCCAGCTTAAGCCAAAGTACCATGTGTCCTGCTGCTATCCACGTAGGCGCCAAGTGTGGGCAGTGAGGTTTTGAGGAATTGAGATGAAAGGAAAGATACCAAGAGCCTATAGATCCCTAAGTGTGTGTGTTTAGTGCTGTGATATCACCTCCCACTTAATCCTCACGGCTTCTTTGTTGGTCAGAGATAAGAACTGCCATTTCATAGATTAGAGCACCGAGGCCCTGAGAGTGCAGGTAACTTGCCAAAACTTAAACAGCTATTAAATGGAAGAGTGCGGATATAAATTTCTACATCTGGAACCGAGTCCTGGCCCCTTCCTCCTGGGACCTTCCACCCTAATGTCCTGGGTTCCTACAATCCCTGCCTCCCTCGGCACCCCACACCCCACATGCCATTTAAAGAAGGAAAGGACTTCTTGGCATAGGCCCCAGTCTCTTGGGCCCAGGGAGTATCCGGAGGAAGGGATCCATGGGCGTGCAGCAGCTTTAAGTTTTCCACATACCGGGGTCTGATGGGGTTAGATCTATTTTCTTCATTGTAAAAGGTGATTGATTTAATTCCAAATTTAACTTAAATTTGATTTTCTTCTCTCAACCTGGCATTTCCAAACAGGGGATCAATCAAACCCCAAATTATAGGCAGCTTGTGGATCAACAACGCTGAGTTATTTCCCATTGAATTTCCCCAGCAATGCGTTTTACACCGCCCTCCTCTGCCAGGAGGGGAGTCGAGGGGTAGGGAGGAGGGGGAATGAAAGGAAAATTAGATTAACTTTCTCCGGCTCCAGCAATCAATATGCTCTGATGAAATTCTGCTCCTACAGCCCAGCTCAGCTCAGCTCGTTCCCCTGAAAGTGCCGGGACTGGAACTGCAGGCTGGGGTGTAACCCAGGGGTAGCTGTGGCCCAGNAATATGCTCTGATGAAATTCTGCTCCTACAGCCCAGCTCAGCTCAGCTCGCTCCCCTGAAAGTGTCGGGACTGGAACTGCAGGCTGGGGTGTAACCCGGGGGTAGCTGTGGCCCAGACTGCCTGGGTGCTCACGTCAGGATGCGGAACTGTCATTTATC